GTCTGGCATGCGGTTAGCATCCAGTGCAGCAAGTCTTTCACGAGACTTGATGTAATCGATGTATTCTTTTTCAAATGCTGGCGGTGATGTTCGCAGTCTCGACATACTGGATATCGTCGATAATATGTGAGGGACGATACTAGGATCTCTAGTGGGAGTAGAAGCGAAAGGTGCCAGAAGCTTGCGCTATCTATGGCCCAGAAGAGAGGGTGACAATGGAATGCGCAGAACACACGCTGTGATTGTCCACAAAGCAGCACAAACGCGTGCAGTGGATCATCACAAGACTCCCCAGGACTGACTGGGCCTTTCCCGAACTATCCGTGTTGACAGATCAGCATGTTTGCCATTCTACGCGGAACCTTCAGCGGCGAAAGACACAATGGTTCTGGCACCGCCAGGAAGCAGATTCGTCTCCACTTGGCCGCTAGAACGTATTCTGCTTCACGATACCACGTGATCATCATGTCATTTTTGTGACAAACCCAGGCAAGTATACAGTTCTGGCAATTGCTCTCAAGACGCCGAGCATGCGGAGTGTGCACGAGCACACTGGGGTACTTGCTGTATGTCACATCAGTTGGTCCATTGGTCACGCTTGAAACACACACATTCCCTAACGACATGAAACACGCTTGATATTCCAACGCTGCAGCTCTATAAGTACATCTTGCTCATTCCTTCTCGCTGATTATCCGGTATCGCAAGCTATGCGTTTCTCCCGACATCACTAATCGAGGTGACCGTCGTTTGCGATGGCCTTTCCCTCTCAATGTTCAAGGTGACTACCGCCCTCACCTTGAGGCCAGACTCTTCCGGAGTCATCTGTCGCACTTTACCTTTTACTTCTCGACGTGAAGGAGATTTGTGTGCTTTAGTGCTTGTCGGAGCGGTTTTCTGTCTGTATATAATTTTCTTCCCCACCAACGCTCTTTCCTTTCTTTCCTATTTCTACAACGACAACACTATCACTTCCCCAGAGCTGCGTTTCTGACCAGCGTTCAACCGATACCGTAAGTTTGCGAAGTCATTCGTCGAAGACATCTTTGCTAACGCTCTTCATAGACTACAACTTTGACATCACGAACTGTATCGAAGCAACCAACTTCAGCGAGCAATCGATCAACGAAGACCGCAAGCCTCTACGATTTCTAACAACACTAAATCCATCAACATGATTCAGTACAAGCCAGGTCGCGATCGCCCGACTGGCTATGTAGTCAACGATTTCGAGTCGTTTGCGGACACTAGCTTAGTGACCTATTGGCGTACCTACAAGGGAAAAGTCGCCAACTACAATCACGATACCGACGTTGCCACCGTTGTCAATGTCAGCAATGCAATTGTAAGCTTTCTTCACTTTTACTGTTGGTTTGATTCTTTTCAACACGACTTTGTCCCTCCTGCGTTTTCTCCTTCACTCAAGCAATTAGTTGGAAACCACCAACACCCTGTAGGACCTGATTGAGAACAACGAAAACGCCATGGATCAGATCATCTGGGGTATGACTCACCCAGAGGACATTCATCCCGGCGTTGCATCCATCGTCGGCAACACTGCCCTCGTCGACCTGCTCCTAGTTCGTCACTACAAGAAGTGGGGCGGCCTCATTCTTCCTCCCCTTCAAGCAGCGCGAGGACTACAAGATGCTCACGAAGTTGTCGCCAATCAAGAGAAGGATCAAGGACTCCAGTGGAATGGTGGCCGCTCCTTGATGAAGTACCCGAACTGGTAAGACATGAGATCAAAACTTACTGGTGCGATATGAGACTGACATTCACAGGCGTGATACTCGTAGCAAAGCTCCACCTCCCGGCTTCCGAGCACCGATCGCAGCTCCTACGACTGCTCCTAGTCCTCGCGGTGATGCTGGTCGTGGACGAGGCGGAAATCGCGGTCGTGGCGGGCTCGGTGGTGGCTGACTAGTTGCTTTAGGATTGTAGAAGATCTTGAAAACTTTGTTATCTAACATGAGGTTTTTTGTTTATCAGGCGACAGCAATCAATCCTGAAGGGATGTTTTAGTGCAAGTCTACAGATTCGTGGCTTCGCTTGCCAACTATAGACACTTTGGCTTGGACAGAGTGGACCCGGGAAACAATGGTAGAAATACGTTTTGATCTCTTGATCTTTTAGCATCTTACAAAGAGATTCTGGTGTACTATCTTCCTCCTTGTAGATTGATGTATACTTCAAAAGTGCTCGACATCTACCCCTTGATGGATTGGAAACTTAGGATGAACGACGACAACAGCCTTGCACTGCACGTCTCGATACTCAAAGTCAACTAAAGTGTTCCTCGCTGAGATATCGACATATTCTTTCCAGCATGTTAGGTCGATGTAACTGGCATAGCCTCTTGCCTTCGGGTACACGGGTTTACCCCGCAACGCACGCACCTGCAGGGCCAGCAGCGATCCGACCGAACATCAACTTAGAGAACACGACGTCCCAACCACCTCCCTCTAATTCGTCGATCACCCACACTATTCCAGTTCTACATGGTCCTGCTTCTTCCTAGACGCCCCCAAAGCTGAGCTAGACCCAAACCTAAAATGCTGCGTGATCGACCCATCCGGACTGATTCCGCTACTCCAAGTGAAGACCTGCATACAGGTGGTGAGAATAGTACACGAGGATGACCATAATGGCACGAATCACAAACTACAGCTGCTGGGTTGGTTCGTTTGTTGAGTCTCCAAGGGGCTGGCGTATCCGAGGGCGTTAGCTGACATGCAGTAGCCTTTCATGTTGGCCCATTCTGCGACGTGGCGGTACATCCGGTCCCACTACCGTGCAGTGCGGCTCTGTTCCGTGGCCTTTATATCTAGGCTAACTGACCATTTGGCAAAGTTATATATGCTTTGGCCTCGTTCTGGGTACTAGGAACTGGACCGCCTCTCTGAACACTCACCATCACAGCCATGTCTCTTGAACGCGTCGACTCAGTTGACCCTACGGAGGTCTACGACTACATCATCTGCGGGTAATTCAACCTCACTGAGAGAGCGCTGCACATCGTTCTCAGCCGATTGTCCTTTCAGCAAATAAATGCTAATCGACATTCACTAGTGGCGGCACTTCAGGCTGCGTAATTGCAGGTCGTCTTGCCGAGGACCTCAATGCAAAGATTCTCGTCCTAGAAGCTGGACCCGACAATGCTGATCTTGAGAATGTGCACATGGCGGGAGGGTGGAGCAAGAACTTCGACAGCGAGACAGATTGGAACATCGTGACCGAGCCTATGCCCAAGGTGGATAACCGACAGGTCAAGGTCAGCAGAGGACGCTTCCTTGGAGGTTCTAGTGGCGTCAATGGCACGCTTTGTATTCGAGGCACAAAGCAGGATTATGACGACTGGGAGATGGATGAATGGACCGGAGAGAAAATGTTCGAGTATATGAAGAAGGTTTGTTGTTGAAGGCTAGAACGGCTGTAGCACAGAAGCTGACTATGATACAGGCTGAGACCTTCCACGAGAAGGGTTGGCATAAAGCTGATATGTCGGTTCATGGGACGTCAGGACCTCTTCATACCGAGCCTCACGATCTAGCGCCTATTTCTGAACGTGTCAGAGAGAGCCTTGTCGATCAAGGTCTTCCTTACCACGCCGACATGTTTTCAACAGGAGAGACACCTCATGGATGCGGAGACGTACCACGAACAGTGCATCAGGGTATCCGGAGTACCGCCGCAGACTTCATCACCAAGGGCTATCGACGGGAGAATATCACCATCAAGACCGAAGTGACTGTCAACAAACTGCTCTTCAACAAAGACTCTGAGGACCTCACAGCAACAGGTGTCGCAACGATATCCAAGAACGGCAAAAAGATCGATTACCAAGCGAGAAAAGAAGTCATTGTCGCAGCAGGCGCATATTGTAGTCCACCAATCTTAATGCGCTCCGGTCTTGGACCAAAAGAACAGCTAGAAAAACATGGCATCGAGTGCCTCGTTGATCTTCCCGGTGTAGGCGGAAACCTAATGGACCACGTTCTCTGCTTCATCTTCTACGAAGTCTCCGAACCAAACCTCACGAATGACCACCTAGCATACCACGATAACGCCATAGCCTCAACCTACGCCCTCTACCAAGAAAAGAAGACTGGAATCCTCTCTACTTTCCCTTTTGGCATATTTGGCTACGCCCGCCTTGACGAACGCCTACAAGACTCGCCCTTGTGGACCAACGCGCCCCGACAGTCAGGCCGCGACCCTATGGGTCTCACGCCCTCGCAACCAAACATCGAGTTCTGGAACACGGAACTATATGGTGGGCCAAAGCAATATGAAGATTTTCCCATTGATCATAAACACGCGTTCGCCATGTGTGCATTGTTGTTCAATCAGCACAGTAGGGGAAGTGTGATGCTCAAGTCTGCTGATCCGATGGAGAACCCGATTGTCGATCATGCCTACCTAGAAGACCCGCTGGACATGCTGGTCATGACCGAGGCATGCCGATTCGCGAACGAAATCATCATGAAAGGCAAGGGAACGAAGGATGTTATCAAGGGCAGTTGGCCGGAGGGTTTGGCTCATCATGGTTTCGAGACTAGGGAAGAGTGGGAGCCGCATGTTAGGGAACACGCTACGACTTGTGAGTTGTCATTACAGTCTTGATACGTGATTTGAGGACTGATACCCATCCCTAGGTTACCATGCTTCCGGCACCTGCGCAATGGGCAAATCGGATGACCCAAACGCCGTCCTCGATTCTCGCCTTCGCGTCCGCGGTGTTCGCAACCTGCGTGTTGCGGATGTGTCTTCTATCCCCAAGGTGAACAACGGACATACGCAGATGGTAGCGTATGGCATCGGAGAAGGAGCGGCAGAGATGATCAAAGAAGATGCTAGAAATGGCGAGAATCACTTCTTGAAGCTTACCGATGACATCAAGAGTATGGCGGTTTAATGGTCATTGTGTTGGGCGGCTACATGAGTTTATGTTTGATGAGTCCATGTCGATAGTGTATCGGCAGAGGTTGTACTCTAATCTATATCTTTCGTTCTTGAACTTCCATGACAGAAGATGTACGCCCGCGTGTAGTCTGTACAATCCTCCTCGCCTTGTTCCTATCTCTAACGTCCTCCGATCTGCCTTCCTTCACATCCCTCTTCACCTCCGTCTTCTTCGCATCATCAGCCACTCGTTCGTATCCCCAAATCGAACCCCCAATAACCACACAAACCATCAGAATCAGGTCAACAATGTGTATCCCCCACCACCAATGTTGCACACCCACGCCACACGAGCTAAACTCAAAAACCCATTCCCCCTTCTCTCCCTTCTCTTCCTCGAACCACGCAGACAGGAAACCAGCATAGCCAGAGTACTCGCCCATCATACTGCGGAGCGTAATCTCACGGATATGGGGCGCGTCGTTGATAGACGTGCATTCATCATCTGCATGGATATCGTAAGGGCGATTTGGGAAGCGCTGAGCGCGCCATTTGGGCGGTGGAGGTGGTTCGGAAGCCGGTTCCAGAGTAGGCTCTGGTGAAGATTCAGATGTTGATGCTTCCTGAGTAGAATCGGTCTCGGTTTGGATAGCGGCATCGGTATCGGTATCGGTATCGTTGGCAGCTACAAAGTTGATGTCGACACCATCGATATCCATCGAAGTAGCAATCATGGTGTCGTTCGCGGTACTAGTTGGCCAATATGCTTCTTCCCTTTTCACGTTCGCCACCTGACATGTGTCCTGCACGCCGGGCTGCCTAATCCAGTGCATAACATCACATCCAGCGTGGTCATGTCCATTAATGATAATGCCCCTTCTGCCCTTGCCTACACCCTCTGCATCTTTATTTGGACTCATGCCAAACATTCCTTCCAAGACGATCTTACTAGCGTGATCAGACAGCATATTCTGTTCTTTTAATCCTTGGCCTCCCTCGAAGAAATCGAAGTATGGAGAATCGACGCAGATACCAGCTTCCTTTTCGAGCGGGATGTGTGTGAGGAGAACGGTGGCGTGTGTTTTGTCGGTGACAGGCAGGGAGGAGGTAATGATGTGGTTCATGAAGGAGTAGGTTTCTGTCTGGAGGTCCGAGGACCAGGCGGGGGTGTCTAAATTCATCGAGTTGAGGATTACGAGGCGGAGGGTTGGTGGTCTGGAGGCGTCTTTTGTAGATGAAGATGGTTCGGTACGTTGGTCTGGGTCGGTTGGATCGGTTTTGTTTGAGCGCAGTTCGTCTGGCAGTGTGAACCAGATGTCCCAGTTCGAACTTCCAAACGCCTTCTCGAAGCGTTCGATGCGCGATTCGTCGATGTCACCAGCGTAGCCAACGTCGTGATTTCCGACGATGTTTATGACGCGCTTCTGCCAGTCTTTATCTGCACCGAGTACTTCTGTTGTACCACCCCATAGCGGCTTCCTCTCTTTTTTCTTCTCTTTCTCTTCTACCACGTCTTTTCCTTCGCCTTCTTGTTCTTGTGATGTTTCTGCTGGCGGCAGCTCCGTGGTTTCACTCCCTAACGCGCCAAAGATAACATCAGGTACCTTCTCCAATCCCCTCATAACAACATTCCAATACCGACCCGCTCTTTTCGTGAACTCGCCATCTGTGACCCACTGACTGCCTAGCAAATCACCCAGGACACTGATGTGCGTGGGTTCAGTCCACCATCTCAGGCTCCTGACTATATGCGCAAGATACCAGTCGTTTCCCCAAAGATCGACAGCTTTCCTCTTTCCCTCTAGCCACTTCCCTGCATCTTTTACAACACCTCGTGCTGCTTGGTCTAGAACATCTCGTTTCGCTGTGTAATTGGCGGCATCGCGTAGATTCGGTACGAGGTTTTCGATCGACGGGAAGACGAGCGCATTCGGATCCGGGAGTGAGGAATCACCCTCAAGCTGGGGATCACCGAGCGAAAGTAGACGGAACGGTGCGACGGCTTGCGCGTGCGTAGACGGAGGTTTAGGAAAGGCGCAGCCGTGGAAAACAGGGTACAAGTATAGCCATGTTGTGCCGATCAAGGCTATGGGTAATAGCAGCAAGGCGACGCGGAAAAGAAAGCGAGAGGGCTGCATCTATGCCATGTATGCATGGCGGAAAGGAGACGATGATGTTTTCACATGCTGGCGCGTGGAGAGACCGTGTCTTGGCCGCGGAGATGAATATGCAGGGGTTGTGGTGCAGCCAATAGGTTGGCGCATCTGCAGAGTGGGGGTAGGGATTTTGGTAACACATCTGCATGCTCCATGAGCAGCTTCAAACGTCGATATGTCTCTTTTCACTACCGGGATACCCTACTCTACAGCGTTATCTTGCACTTGTAGCATTTGTCACGCCCTTCATCAGACTGACCTTTTGAGCCCATCAGCCGAATGGCTTCGAAAGGATTGTACATATTCAACAAGAGCACAGCCAATGAGAGCTCCGCATTTGCGGAGAAACATCACAGCTCCCATTGCGTTCATCAGACATACCACAAGTTCGTATATCGTCTATTACGCTCTCTTCATTCTCACATCGTACGCCACTTTTGTATCCATATTCCAAACCAAGTAAAAAAGCGCATGACACACTATCTGCCCCCCTTCTCCCACCAACCACCTAACCAAGCAAATCCCCCAGCGCACCACCAGGCTTAGATCCCGACTGAGGTGCTTGTGCAGCAGGTGTACTGGGAGTAGAAGCCGGCGCCCCCCAGAGCCCTTGACTAGTCTTCTGCTTAGCCAAGTCACCCATAGTGACCTTCTGCGTTGGTGTACCCGCCTTCTTCGGCGCAACACCACCAAGCAAGCTCGCAAACGCATCACCACCAGCTTTCTTGGGTGCACCGCCACCGATACCACCGCCGATGCGTCCACCGGGCGACATTACAGAAGGCGTGGATGACGCTGATTGAGGCGCAGGCTGGGGCACAGAAGTGAAGTAATTCGGACCCGAGGCTTGGTAGCCTGAGGGTTGGGGTGGAGGTTGCGAGAAAGAAGAGGTCATGGAGGGGGGTGCGCTCATTTTGTTTGCAGCAGGTGGTGGTGAAACTGTTGCGAGCAAGTTGCTGAAGTTGTTGTTCTGGGCCGAGGACTGGGCTGTCGGTGCGGCGAATTGGGTTGACGAGGTGATGGTGGATGTCGACGCAGGAGAGACGATATTGTAGGCTGGTGCGGCTGGCTTGGATGCAGGTGCTACTGGAGCTGCAGACTGGAAGTCGTCGAAATCATCGTCGTCGCCGAAGTCGTCGCTTGGAGCAGCAACGGGCTGCTATCCTGCTGAAGTCGACATGGGCGCAGGCTCATCGTCAAAAGCGAGCAAGTCGACAACGGGCTCTGGTGCTTTCGGCTTAGGCTCCTCCTTCTTGGGTTCTTTCCTCGCGTGCGTGGTTGTGGGTTCTCTCCGCCGCGCTGGTGCTGGGCTAGCACTTTCGCCCTCGTCGTACTCATCGTACTCGTCAAACTTGTCGCGTCGCTGTTGTGTGTCTGCGAAGCCAGATTGGTTGCCTCCAAAGCCACCGCCGTCGCCATAGACCTCTCCTCTGTAGCCACCATAGTCTGCCTGCTCACTGCCAAACCCTCCGTACCTGCTACCACCCCCGCTACCGCTTCCTGAGAAGCCACCCATGCCGATGCCGGCTCCGCCCTCGACACCACCAAACTTGTTTCGGTTCGCTCGCGCCTTCTTGCGCTCGGTGCGGATGCGGTCGACATCGCTAAGAAGTTCGGCGAGCTCCTTGGCGCGATTGCGTACGTTAATGCCCTGGTCTTTGCCGTTCTGGTCAATGAAGTGGAACTGCCGTAGCATCTTGAGGAGCGAGACGTGAGAGCGCGCATCGTCAATGACTCGTTCTGAACCGTTCTTGATCAGGTATTCGAGGAGTTGCAGGGCCTGGCTTGTTAGCGACGCCGGCGACAAGGAGAGCGCCCAAGTACCTTGTAGATCTGTCTCCATTCTTCCGAAGCCTTCTCTGTGAAGCGCTTGTAGATCATGGGCATGATCTCGTTCAGTAGTTGGCTAATTCGTTAGCCATGATCCGCCAGGTCCTCGGGCATCGCCTACTAGTTGAAGGTTCCATTGGCAATCTCCTGTAGCATGGTCGATGATGCACCTGGCCGCCTGTCAGCTCCATTCTTCGCGAGACGCCAGGCTCGGCTTACCCCATGGCTCATTGTTTGTTGCCTCGCGGACCTTGGCCTCCATCTCTGTGTAGTTCATCACCGCTACGAAGCGCGTTAGCATTGGCCAGCTGGCTTCACCCTTCCCCTCAGCATACCATTTTGGGCCTTGCGGAATCCCGCCTTGAGGTCGTAGAGCGTGAGGTTGCTCACTTGATCCTTCAAGCTATTGAGATCCATGGCTGTAGACTTGTGGCGCGTCGGTCTGGCAATATGGTAATGTGAGTGTACTGGAGTCGAGGTGGCAGCTGTCGACCACGGTCTCGGGAGCGGACCACCGAGGGCGAATTGCAAAGGTCGTTAAGAGGAAGGTAGTATGCGTTTGCGCCAGAGGTGTCTCAGCCACGCGAAATATAATCGAGAAGACTGCAAAGATGTCCGCTTACAAGAATATTCACCTTGTCGCGAGCCATGCTCGTGGTACAGGGTAAACGGCGATGGCGGCCCTGCGCTCACGTGATCTAAGCTCGGGCCTTTCCAAGCTATCCAGGTACCTATGATGCTCAGAGTGAGACAACACGCCTTGAACGGTTGCACGACTTGACATACGAAAAGTGAAATGTGTTAACGGTGTCGCGCACCTTGTTCAGGAGTACTGGTAGTTAAGATGAATTATTTCTGTCGTAGTCATGTATACAGTCCTCGATTGATGCGAGCAATGGAGCGCCGGATCGGGGAACGCGCTAGACTCGTGCACAAGCTTGAGGTATCCAAAGTTTTCCGTCTGGTCATCCATCCGACCCTTCAACTGCTACCTCGTGTCGGCAATTCATCAATTGTATTATATTCCTTGAATCTTGCATATCGTGTTGCATAGCGGCCCGATTCCTTGTATCATTCCTGTAAGTTGCCACCAGAGTCGTGCTGGAAGCCGGCCATTGTGTTGTGAATAGCTATCTGATAGTTCCAAAGGCACCACCCAGAGTGAGTTCCCACCCAACAAGAGTAGCACCACAGACGTCAGCCCTGCATTCCCAGCAGTGTCTAAACGCACAATTACCTGGCTATCTCACGATTCACTGCCAAGAAACAGGACCTAACTGCTTATCAGGTTAGGCTCACACCCCGCGCTGCATCATGCCCCACCTTCCGAGAGCTTCTGCTCTTTCAGCTTTCCGCGCAGCTCCCCAACTTCGCGCTCCTATCAACAAACGCTTCTTCACTCCTTCGGCATACAACATGGCCATCAAGGCTTACTTTGATTGCTCCTGGACCGGGCCCACCGTTGAGGTCGACAACGCCGGCAACGTCACCAGCCAGGGCAAGGTTGAGGGTAGCTACGACCGCTTTCACATGCGACTTCCACCTGCTGACTATGAGTTACAGCGCAATCCGGTCGCGTCAACTTCGAGCTCTTCGACGATGTCGTTCCCAAGACGGCTGAGAATTTCCGCGCCCTCTGCACCGGCGAGAAGGGTTTTGGCTACCAGGGCTCAAAGTTCCACCGCGTGATTCCTCAGTTCATGCTCCAGGGTGGTGATTTCACCCGCGGCAACGTCAGTCTCGATTCTCCATACAAAAAGACAGTTGGTTAACAGACGTTAGGGCACTGGAGGCAAGTCCATCTATGGCGAAAAGTTCGCCGACGAGAACTTCAAGTTGAAGCACGACCGCCCCTTCCTCCTCTCCATGGCCAACGCTGGCCCCAACACGTAGGTTTTCTATACTATACTCTATCAGGAAGAGTCATGGCTGACACGTCATAGCAACGGTTCCCAATTCTTCATTACCACCGTCGTTACCTCATGGCTGAACGGCAAGCACGTCGTCTTTGGCGGTGTTCCTGATGGCGATGTCGAGTCCTACAAGGTTGTCCGATCAATCGAGGCTTGCGGCTCCGACAACGGAAGCATCAAGTACAAGGACGGCCCACCTACCATCACTGGTGCTGGCGTCCAGTAGATACATCTCGGTGAGGTGGGATGGCGCCATAGAGGCAAGGGCTTATGCGCAACTGGTGGTTTATAATTGTGTAGCACCTGTCAGTGAGACTTTATGACTCTGTGGGCAGCTATGAATGAACGAAATCTGAGCAGTCTAACGTGCCTTCTCATGCTATTGATAAACCTTCTTCCACCTTGCGCATGCGGCATTTGTCCTGCGGTCTGTGATTTTTGTCGCAACGAGGGGCAGTTTTTACCCCGCACTCGTCATAAGTTTGTACATTCCGCACTACAACAACTTACGCGGAAACGTCCTTCAAGTGGCTTTGGCATCGATTGAGTTCATGCTAGTCGATGGACTTGTAACCTTTTGTCGAAGTCTAATCTATAGACGAGATTATTGGGGCCTCGTCCCACAATGCCATCACCTTGATAGCTCTGTATACCCACTCCATCCCCAGCTCTGCCACGATTGTGTCCACAAATTGCCGGTACAGCTCCACCCTAATGGCGTGAACGGCTAGATCTAGCGGTCTTCGTCCGCAATTTCGCCGTCTAGGGCGTGATGTCGACATCTTCGACATTTCGACATTCTGACAAGCAATCTGTTTGATTGGACATATCCAGGACAACATCTCATAGCCTTTCGACTTATTAGGACGACTGCAACACGCACATACACCATTTTACTAGCATTGAATTCAGAGCACATCGAACAACTCGGAACTCGACGGACGCTGTCTACAGACGACAACTGCAATCATCATGACACCATCAGCATACCACCCCTCGACCCACGGCGTCCACGCCGACGACCGCATCAATATCCTCACTGACGTCGCCCCACCAATTCATACCGCAACTACCTTCCGATATCCTCACGACCCATCGCAACTCCAACCCGTTCCCACAGAAGGCGAATTCGTCGACCTCCAGACACCTTTGATATACTCGCGCCTCGCATCCGCCAGCACAAACCGACTGGAAACCATCCTGGCCCCACTAATGTACCCGGATGCTAAGGAAGAGGAATTGGACGGACAAAGTGGGTTGGCAAATCATGTTGTTAGCTACACAAGCGGCCTCAGCGCTTTCCACGCTCTACTCGTCAACCTCGTACCTAAAGTTATTGCGATAAGTGGTGGATACCACGGCTGCCACGGTGTCATCGACCTGCACAAGAAGATGCACGGCGTGAAGACTGTTGATCTCCATGCCGACGACGCTACCTGGGACGCTGCGGGCCTGGGAAAAGGTGACCTGGTTCATTTGGAAACACCACTGAATCCTACCGGCGAAGCCTTCTCCATCGCCAAATACGCACAACGGGCCCACGCGCGCGGCGCATATCTGAGTGTTGACGCTACGTTTGCGCCGCCGGGCTTACAGGATCCGTTTCGTTGGGGCGCGGATGTGGTTATGCATAGTGGGACTAAGTATATTGGAGGGCATAGCGATATGCTTTGTGGCATTCTCGCGGTGAAGAAAGGCGAGGAAGGGTTGAAGAGAGCGAAGACGCTACGCGCTGAGAGGATTTTCCTGGGTGCTGTGCTGGGCAGTTTGGAAGGCTGGCTCGGAGTAAGGAGTCTGCGGACATTGGACTTGCGTGTTCAGCGGCAGAGTAGTTCTGCAGAAAAGCTTGTCCGCTGGCTGCAGGATTCCCTTGATGGCAAGGGTGAGGGGAAAGAAGCGGAGGTGGTGAAGGGGGTTGTGAGCAAGATCTCTCATGCTAGTCTGCAAACGGCGGATTACGACTGGCTTAAACAACAGATGCCCAACGGTTTCGGCCCCGTCTTCAGCATCTACATGAAGACGCCACAACTCGCACGTACCTTACCTAGCAAACTCCGCCTTTTCCATCATGCGACTAGCTTGGGAGGTGTGGAGAGTTTGATCGAGTGGCGCAGGATGAGCGATGCAGAGGTCGATGAGAGGTTGCTGAGGGTCAGTGTTGGGGTGGAGAGTTGGGAAGATCTGAAAGGGGATTTGCTGGGTGCATTCGAGTCGTTGGGAAATGATCAGAAGAACGTGACAGATAGAACGAGTAATGGAGGAGAGGTGCAGCTTGGACAGGAGGGGGCGCAGATGCCGGAGGCGGGGGCTGGCGCTGTATGAAGAGCTATGTGGTGTTGAGAGATACCGACAGGAGCGGTAATGGTATTGTAGATTAGGTCTTGGCGTCTCGAACACGCGTCAATCGTATCAGCGAATTTTGAGGTTGTCGCTTATATTATATGAATAATTATAGATAAAGGCCGGTAGTTTTGCTTTTTTGTGGCGCGACTGAGAGCGATGTACTAGTTCGGAGTTAAGATTAAAGTTCGTCTAGCTGAGTTGACATGCGGGCAGTGTACCAAACTGCAAGAACACGGGTCGAATCAATACCTTGATTTTGATTAAGATTGTTCTAGTCAGGGTCAGAGAAGACGCAACGAAGCCTTCCCACGCGGCCGACAGCTTTGGACCGACGCCGTAGACAGGCTTGCCTTAAACAATGCTGGCATACTTCTCCAAGATTGGAAACCATGTTTAGTGACATCTGAACATTATTGGTTTACGATGTGCCAGCACGTTGATCGAAATAAATCACATGATACACGTGTAGGGGATTACCTGGGTAGCTTTAGAGTTTGAAGATTTAGTAAGCTGATTGGCATGCGCGTGACGCCAGATCTGTGGAAACACGTTGCAATGACCTAGGGATCTTCAAGTATCTCTCAAGGTACTCTATCCCTAGAGACGCAGACATCGTATCATCAGTGAGGCTGAGAAGGGACGTGAGATCAGACAAGAGCAGACGTCGACGATACTCGGCGTGGGTATATGTGGGTCCCCGACGCTTTCCGCAGCCAGAACGGCCCTCCTCGCGGCGCGCTATGCTACCCGTCAAACCATGACAAAAATTTGCTTCTTCTCCATAGCAGCCGATACCGGTGCGCGTGGTACCGATCCAGAGCTCTGAGTGGAGATGATGTGGTCAGGAGAAATTGAATCCTGGGGCTGGTCCTGCGTAATATGAGCGATGCCGCCATGGTTACGCTCGGCTCTCAGCGTCGGCGGCAAACACAGCACAGATCGCGACATGGGCTGTGCTGAGCAAGATGACGCTAAGATGAGGAACGGCTGAATGTGCATTTCGCCGACTGTGGGGTAACAGGCATTGCATGACAATGCGAGGTCACGATGGCAAGCTTGCAGATACACGGCCATGGCAAAAGCAACGACCTCGAATTGAGTTTAGGAGCTGATGTCATGCCATCGGCTTTGGAAGCGGGCGCAATGAGTTTGCCAGTCACTAGGCATTACATCACACGCGACAGTTCGCCATCATCACATCAAAACCGCATGTCGCCATAAACACCAAATATATCGACTACTCCACAAGAACGCTTGACAGTATTGTCCAATCGTCAGTGCTTCTAGCGCGGGCGATAAGCCGGGAGTCTGCGTCAGTCTGGCACCATCTGGAGCAACAATGAAGCCTCACTAGTGCGACATGGACGCATCCGACGCAAGCCGAGCATCGTGCGCGACATCGTGGATCACCAAGAGTACCAACCATGGTATATAGGGGCTATCGAACACATTGTAAAAAGTCACAAGACCTCCAGAATTGCTCTTTCTGTCAAGTTTGCCGGTATCGACTTTATAAAGAATAGTAATTCACGGACTCCGGCCATCTACTACACCACTTGCATACGCCTCCGAGTGTAAAGTACACCAGCTCCAACTAACCACTCGAGCGTCCAAATCACACACAATCTCAATATGATGCTCCGGAGACAGAACCTCCAACGCTTCCAGAGCCTTGCCCTGGCACACACATCCCGAACTCTCGCATCAACACCGCGTTACGTCTCACAGAGCGCACGGCAGAATGTCTCTGTGCCCGCGGACTCATCACAAGTTTCAACTGCACATCTCCTGTCCACACAGCCAGAGTCACAGATAGCGCAAACGAAAGCAGTTCTCGGCCGCCTACCCACAGAGACTGTCCTGCGCTCCTACCTCATCACCGCCGTATCCTCAAGGCCTCTCCTACTCAACGCTTGTTTCGGAATCCTCAGGCGTATGCTTGACTCCAAGTCTTTCCTCTTGAGCATCGAGCGCAACCCTGTATTGTCCAACTTGCTCAAGAAGACATTCTACGCGCAATACTGTGTTGGCGAGAAGAAGGATGAGGTTGTCAGGAACACTGAATTCGCACGTACGCTCGGTTATGGTGGTATTCTGTTCGAGTATGCGCTTGAGGTACTTGGTGGAAAAGCGCCAACTGCCGAGGAAACCAAGATGGAGATTGAAGTGTGGAGGAAGGGAATGCTACAGAGTGTCGATATGGCCAAGGAAGGCGACTTTGTTGGACTAAAGTAGGTCATTTTCTTGGTTACTTTCGTGGGGATATTCTAACCACCATTTAGATGGTCCGGTCTCGGTCGTCATGCCCTCAACCTCCTCCAGAACCAACAAGAAGCCACTCCCGAAATGTGGTCCGCTATAACTGCCGCTTGCGACGCCGCCGCCGCAAAAGGCGTGAGCCTCCTACCCGGCGCTGAAGAAGAGGCCACGAACCTCGGCCTCGAGAAATGGACCCTTGCCCTGCAAGAAAAGTACAACAAGCCCGAAAATGGTCGCGCCGTCCTGTACATCACCTACCAATGCTACCTCCGCGACATCTCCAAACGCATGGCTGCGCATCTTGAGCGCGCCTCAAAGAAAGGCTACATTGCGGGTGTCAAGCTTGTCCGCGGCGCATACCTCACTTCTGAACCCAAACACATCACCTTCGACACCAAAGCAGGAACAGACGCCAACTACGACGCCTGTGCCGACGCTGTCGTCCGCCAACAATGGACCGACAAAATCCCCGCCCCTACTCCCGGTACTCCCTTCCCTCGCGTGAACATCGTCCTTGCAACGCACAACCTCGCTTCCGTCCAAGCCGCCCAGAAGATCCGGGCCGAGCAGATGCTTACTACGTCACCTGACCAACTACCCCGCCTCACATATGCACAGCTGCAA